ACATAACCCCATCTAGTCATAAGGATAACATCAAACAAATCCCACCTGAGGGATGGTCTACAGAATACCTGGCCATACTTTTCAAAACTGTCAAAATCATCAAAAACAAGGAAAGAATGAGAAACTGTCAAAACCAAGAGGAGTCTAAGGAGACATGAGACATGACAACTCAGTGAAATGTAGTGTTCTGGCTGGGATCTTGGGACAGAAAAAGGCCATTAGGTAAAAACTAGGGGAATTCAAATAAGGTATGGACTTTTATTAGTAATGTATCAAAATTGGTTCATCCATTATGATAAATGCCACCTGTTAGTGGAAGATGTTAACAATAGGGAAAACTGACTAATGGGTCTGTGGGAGCTCTGTGTACTATCTTTGCAATTTTTCTGTCAATCTCAAACTATTCTAAAATGTTTATTTTTTAAAATGCTTTTTTTTTTTTTTTTTTTTTAAAGACAGGGTCTTGCTCTGTCACCCAGCCTGGAGTACAGTGGTATAATCATGGCTCATGGCAGCCTTAACTTCTCAAGCTCAAGTGACCCCCCATTTTAGCCTCCCAAGTAGCTGTGAGCACAGGTGTGTGCCACCACATCCGACTAATGTTTTTTTTTTTTTTTTTAATTTTTGTAGATACAGAGTCTGGCTATGTTGCTCAGGCTGGTCTCAAACTCCTGAGTTCAAGTGATCTTCAAGCCTCGGCCTCCCAAAGTGTTGGGATTATAGGCACGAGCCACCACACCTGACCTAAAAAATACATTATTCTTTTTTTTCTGGAGACGCAATTTCGCTCTTGTTGCCCAGCCTGGAGTGCAAGGGTGCAATCTCAGCTCACCGCAACCTCCACCTCCCAGGTTCAAGTGATTGTCCTGCCTAAGACTCTAAGCCTCCTGAGAAGCTGGGATTACAGGCATCTGCCACCACGCCCGGCTAATTTTGTATTTTTAGTAGAGATAGGGTTTCTCCATGTTGGTCAGGCTGGTTGTGAACTCCCGACCTTAGGTGATCTGCCCACCGCAGCCTCCCAAAGTGTTGGGATTACAGGCGTGAGCCACCACGCCCGGCCATGCATTATTCTTACTGTTATTTTGTAAGCGCTGTATTTCTTCAGGGGGAGCAGGGGGTAAGAGAAAGTTTCCATTAAGCTGGACCAATGACGAGTGCCCTGTCCCTGCCCTGCCTGATTTTGTTCTTGGATGTGCCAGAGAAGCAGGAGGGAGGAGCAAGAGGCCATCTGGCCCCAGTTCCCCAGCTGGTGGAAAGCAGAGGCAAGGAGGGTTACTGCAGGAAAGTGAGAGGATGCGCAGGAACCTGGTAGAGGCCCCTGGGCCAGGTTGGAGAAAGCTGGCTGCTGTTAGGCTGTGGTCAGCTCCCGGGAAGACGGACTCCACAGCCTCACTGAGCCACATAGTATCACACTCTGTACTGGCGTGGCATGCCCCTGGTGCAGCAAACATCACTCTATGCCACACACTTGGCGGCAAGTGGAGACCTCACTAGAAGGGTGAGGGGCCTGCCCTGCTATTTGCTGTCACCATCCCTGACTTAGTGACAGATGGAAGCTGGCATTCAGGGCCTCAGTCATCCAGCCTAGAGGTAAACCAAGCATGTTTCACCAGTGCCCCCTGTTCCCCGAGACCTCTCACCTTCCTTCAGAGGCCTGAGGTGGTAGAAGGGCATGGGTTTTGGAGGCAGCAGATCTGGGCTCAGGCTCAGGCACCACCACTTGACAGCTGGGAAACCTTGGGTGATTCACTTAAGCTCTCCGACCTGTTTCTCCAGTTGTAAAAGGCAGATAATACACCTGCTTCACCCACCTTACAAGGTTAGTCAAGGATCAAATGAGAGGCGGTAGACCAGGAGGGACTGTCTTAGGGGTTATTGTTTGGGTAGATGAGGCAAGAGTGGTCAGCACTTTCTTAAGCAGCAGGTAAAGCCTTGGTCTTGGGGCTAATTGGTAGTAGAGTTTTGTATATAGTCATGCCACATAATGTTTTGGTCAACAACAGTGCATGTATGACAGTGGTCCCGTGAGATCATAATACTATATTTTTACTGTACCTTTTCCATGTTTAGATTTACAAATACCACTGTGTTCCAGTTGCCTACAGTATCCAGCACGGTGACAAGTTGCACAGGTTTGTAGCTTAGGAGGAACAGGCTACCCCATCTAGCCTAGGTGTGCGGTAGGCTGGGCCATCTAGGTCTGTGTAAGCGCACTCCATGATCACACAACAACGAGATCACCTGACTGCTTTTCTCAGGGCGTATCCTCGTCATTAAGTGACATGACTGTATTAGGTTGCTTTCAGTTGCAGGTAATAGTAAGTCCAACTCACATTGGCTCATATAACTGAAAATTCAGAGGCCACATGGGCCTCAGGAGCCATGTGATCAGGGCCATATTTCTCAGTCTCAGAGCATGTGCGTGTGCTGGCTTCTCACGCTGATTTTCTTCTAGGTAGAAAAACGGTTATAGGAGGCCCAGGCCACACATTCTACCATCCCCTAAGAGGAAAGAGCTGCTTTCCCCCTGTCATAGTGTCCATGACGTCTCTCTCTTTAGACTGTTTTAGGTCACATGCTTATGTTCTGAATTGATCACTGGGGCAAGGACAAGTCATGCCGACTGGCTTAGGCGTGAGTTACTCCCAACCTGAACAAATTACTGGGGCAAAGAGGGATAAATAAAAATGATTGGGTTAGCCAATCGGGGCCTGGGCCTGGAGGTAGGAGGGCATCAAGCCCAGGCAAACCTTTTGGCTGCTACAGGCGGGGAGGAGTGGCATGGATGCCAGCAGTGTCCCTACAGGCTTCTATCCCAGTCATAATCCACTGTTTGAGAGCAATGGCCATTTGCCTCTATAGCATCCATTTACCCCTTTGGCAACAATCCTAATTTGCATTTGGGGCATTGTTCCTTCCCCTTTCCCAAAAACTATGAAGCCTCATTTCCCTCTCATGGGAGAGGCATGTGACCAAGATGTCGGCCAATTGGTGCACTGTATTCTCCAAGCCACCGGACTGCTTCTTGGAAAGGCACTTGGTTTGATTAAAGCCAGTGAAACACAATGATACTCGCTGGGGAAGGCTGGGGCGGCACCAGGTGTGCCTGTCTGCTGAACCTGACCCCAAGAGGAGGTAGGGTCTAGAGCTGTTGGTGCTGCCATTTTACAACCCCATGGAGAGCCTGAGATTGAGGCTAATGTAGAGAGATGGAGGGAGGGTGAGGAACCTAATAGGGCCAGCCTAATTCCTGGATTCTGCAGTTTCAGAGTCCACAGATTGCCTCTGCTTTAAAAGCCAGTTTGGGTCTACCAAAGTTTTCTACCAGTTGCAACGGTGTCTTATTATACTCTCCTCCCTATTCAAGGGCAGTAAATGCCACCAAGCCGTGCATGTGGGCGACTAGAATGCTTTGTCCAATCCTTACTATTTGTCACTTGACACTAATATTACATGAAAAGCATCCCAGTCATGAAAGATATGGAAGAATGCTCAGTAATACCATGAAGGGAGAGCAGTTTGGAACCATTGTTTACTGGTATTGTTATCTCAGGGGTGTTTCCCCTGATTATCCATGAGGTTCTCTTTATGCTCTGCTCCCTGTAGGGTCTGGCAGGCTTCCCAACTTATCTGGTGTTCAAAGTGGATCTAAGGGTGAAACTGGAGCCCACCTGGATATAGAGATCTATATTAGTTTTGTGTTTATTGATGGGAGAAAGTCGTTATTTGGGGTAATCCACCTTGAATGCTACATAAATGTCTTCTACTCAAGGATTCACATGATAAATCTCTCCAAAGGTACGGTGGCTCACACCTGTAATCTCAGCACTTTGGGAGGCTGAGGCGGAAGGATCGCTTGAGCCCAGGAGTTTGAGACCAGCTTGGGCAACATGGTGAAACCCCATTTCTACAAAAAATACCAAAATTAGCTGGCTGTGGTGGTGTGCACCTGTGGTCCTAGCTACTTGGGAGGCTAAGGCAGGAGGATCTTCTGAGCCCGGGAGGTCGAGGCTGCAGTGAGCATCCAGCTCACTCCAACTTGGGTGCATTTGAGCAAGATCCTATCTCAAATGAATGAATAAACAAATCTCTAGGACCTACCTTGAGAGCTGTCAGGAAACCCTCCGGAAAAGGATGTCTCATGGATATGCCAGTGTAAACTCTCCTGAAATAACCCTTTCTCTTTTCTACCCAGACTAACTTTACCTACCCTTCAGGGCCCAACTCAGATCCCTCCCTCTTGGTAAAAAGCCAGTTCAGACTGAAGCAGTCCTTTCTGTTAACCACACTAATTATTACTGCAATTAATCTCACAATACCTTGAGGCTCCTGGTGCTGAGAGGATTTTGCCTTTTGTTATAGTGATGGAAAGGATGCATTTCAATATGTTGCCTTGCAGCGCAAACCTTTGTTAACAGGGCAAAAATAGCACACGGGGCAGGAATTACATTCCTGGATGCGCATTTGGCTTATTTACATGGATTTGGGTGTCCTCTAGGGACACCATCGTCTTTCCCCTCCAAGAGGGTCAGGCCACAGGACATCCATGTTCTTGGCCTCCCATGGGAGAGGGGCTCTCACCAGAGGAAGGGAAAGCCAAGTGGCCACAGAGTTCCAGCCGGTCCCTGGGACAGCCCCTGCCTCTGGCCAGACATCCACCCACCCTTGCTGAGTCAGCCTGCTCTGGGGCTAGGGCTCAGTCCTTGCTGTCTGTCAGAGACAGACCGTGAAGTGCAGTGTGTGGAGGGCTGGGGCATAGCACACCGAATTACCCCAGGGAGCTTGGAAAACAACTCTTCCCACTCTCTGTTAGGCCCACAGCTTCCTCTACTGGAGGAGACAGCATGTGAGGACGGAACTCGGTCATTCCTCTGTCACCACCAATACAGACAGTCTGGAATCCTGCGCACAGGAGACTGATGATCCCTGAGCAACCTTTAATAGCTCCTACCATTGGGCACTTTCTTGGTACAGATCACAAATAATAGACATAGACATCATAGAAAATGTTATTCTTTTATTATTTCAAGGAGGTAATACATAGCCCAATATGTCAAAGCAAAAGGAATTAGAGGCAGCAAATGGCCAAGTTTTTCTAAGAGCCTCATGCTGCATCTCTGAGCTCCTGTCTGCCCGCAGCCCACAGCTGCTTACATGAAGGCCAGGTCAGTGGACAGATGGCCCAACTCGACACTCCACGGACTGAGAAAGGGCTCAATGTGCAGCACAGCAGAGGCACTGCCAGGACCCAGCATGCTGGGTGGCACCCCCCGCTGCCACCACCAGCTCCAGAGCTAGTGCCTTAGTGGCAGCCAGCGTGTCTAGCACTTGATTTTATTCCTGTGAGCCTAGAGTGGGCAGGACGTGAATAAATCCTGAGTCATAAATTAAGGTGAAAGACTTAGTAGTGTTAATACTCTGGGTAAGAAAAGACAGCACAGTCTTGGAGGAGAGTGGGCTTGGAGTCTGGTGGAAGAAAGACAGAAACCCCCAGAAGGGCCTCGGCCTGCAGGCACTGCCTTGAGGCCATCAGAGGGGGTTTTCATGGTACATGATGGGGAGGAGTGAGGCGGGGGGGCACTGGAGGGCTGCTTCCTCTGGCACAGTTGAACTAGAGGTTCATTTTCCACTCATAATTGGTTTCCCAGGTCTAACTCACCACACCTGGGGCTGAAGCAAGTCTTGCCAGTGCACCAAGCGTGGCCTTGGACCCTGGAGAGATGCAAGGCTCAGTTCTCCAGTGTTGAAGCGGAGGGGCTCCCAACTGAAGGAGATCTTTCTCCCCCCACCTCCAGCTCGTTTCCCTTGCAAATGACCAGGGTGTGAGTCGAGAGGCAGAGGCACCTCCTGGTGCAACCCCACCACAGTCTTCCAGAGAACTCATCTTGGTGGGACTCAAAAGCCCAGGCTTGGCATGGAGCAGACTTATTCCGCCCATGGGAGGGCACCCAGTCTGGTGACTGAATGGTGGCGTGCAAGTGGGAGTCAGCAGTGGCTCTGGATGTCGTAATACTCAGATGCCATTCATCTCTATGTGATCGTCCTGGCTGGAGAGCTGGTGAGGAGGGGCTGCTTCCTCCTGGCGTGCACTGTTCACCAACCACACCAGCTGGGCTGATAGATTTTTGGTTTGACAGGTGTGGAAAGAATTTTTAAAACCAGCCACTGTGTTCTCCAAACCCAGAGCCACTGGTTTTGTTTGACAAGAAACGACAAAGAGAACCACAGCTCCACTGAGGCTAAGGCTTGTGTAGCACAGAATGCAGTATGTATCGAAACGTATAAACCTTGTCTGGGGAGATGGGTGGGCACAGAGCTGCAGGGACCCAGGTCCTCTAGTCAGTTGCAGGCTCTGCCGATGTCTCATCCTTAAGCTCCTCAAAACCCGGGACTGGCTTCTGCAGAAAGTATGTAGTGGCCTGGATCACCTTGTCTGGTCCAATGTTGTACACTGGGTGAGTGGGCTGCTGCAAAGAGAAGAAAAGGTGCCAGTTAATCACCCCGGTGGTCCTTGAAAACGTAACACATCCTTTGCTCCATGAAAGGCACTTCTAAGAATTTAGTATAAGGAATCAGAGATACACACAAAGATTTATCACACAAAGCCCAAAGGTTCAAAAACGGTATATTTGCTAAAACTATCTAGTCCATGGGACACAGGGTAATATACAGCCATTATAAACATGCATTTAAATATTTAATGATATAGGCAAATGCTTACAACATATGTGAGAAAACAGTATGTGCAATACTATCTCAAACTTTTTTTTTTTTTTTGAGACAGAGTCTTGCTCTGTTGCCCAGGCTGGAGTGCAATGATGTGATCTCAGTTTACTGCAACCTCTGCCTCCTGGGTTCAAGAGATTCTCCTGCCTTAGCCTCCTGAGTAACTGGGATTACAGGTAGGAGCCACCACACCCGGGTAATTTTTGTATTTTTAGTAGAGACAGGGTTTCACCATATTAGCTAGGCTGGTCTCGAACTCCTGACCTCAGGTGATCCACCAGCATCAGCCTCCCAAGGTGCTGGGGTTACAGGTGTGAGCCAATGCCCAGCCTCAAACTTTTTTAAAAGTGTATTTGTACCTGTGATATATATAAATGGCAAAAATCGTACCCATACCAAAAGATTAACAGTGATATGATTGTTTTTAATTTTATTTGTATTTTATGTATCCCAATTATTAAAACAATAAACATGTATTTACATTTATAATCAAGAAAAAAGGGGCTGGATGCGGTGGCTCATGCCTGTAATCCCAGCATTTTGGGAGGCTGAGGTGGATGGATCACCTGAGGTCTAGAGTCCAAGACCAGCCTGGCCAAGATGGTGAAACCCCGTCTCTATAAAAATACAAAAATTAGCCGGGCATGATGGTGGGTGTCTGTAATCCCAGCTACTTGGAAGGCTGAGGCAGGAGAATCGTTTGAACCTGGGAGGCAGAGGTTGCAGTGAGCCAAGATTGCATCACTGCACTCTAGCCTGGACAACAGAGCAAGACTCCATCTCAAAAAAAAATAATAAAAGAAAAAAGGACCACAACCCTATTATGTAGTAAGGCTGTTAGGTCATATTTAAACTCCATGATGTTATTCTAGTACATCACAGAAACCCAAAAAAAATTTTAGATTTGACACGGGGCATAATCTTAGGCCAATAATCAGGATTCTCCCACTGTGGGAGAATGAAGAAGGGGACACAACTGCAGGAGAGATTTTAAAAATTTTGAGAGAATACTATGAGCAACCTCATGCTAAAACATACAAAAATTCAGATAAGCAGTAATTTTTAAAAACCAGAAAAACTGTCAAAATGGACTTAAGGAATTTTTTTTTTTTTTTTTTTTTTTGAGACGGAGTCTCGCTCTGTCTCCCAGGCTGGAGTGCAGTGGCCGGATCTCAGCTCACTGCAAGCTCCGCCTCCCGGGTTCCCGCCATTCTCCTGCCTCAGCCTCCCGGGTTCCCGCCATTCTCCTGCCTCAGCCTCCCGAGTAGCTGGGACTACAGGCGCCCGCCACCTCGCCCGGCTAGTTTTTTGTATTTTTTAGTAGAGACGGGGTTTCACCGTGTTAGCCAGGATGTCTCGATCTCCCGACCTCGTGATCCGCCGTCTTGGCCTCCCAAGTGCTGGATACAGGCTTGAGCCACCGCCCCCACTTAAGGAATTTTTTTTTTTTTTTTTTTTTTGAACGGTCTCGCTCTTGCCCAGCTGATGCATCCGACTCAGCTCACGCCTCCCCCGGTCCGCCATCCCCTCGCCTCCCGAGCTGGACTACAGGCCCACCCTCGCCCGCTAGTTTTTGTATTTTTTTTTTTAGTAGAGACGGGGTTTCACCGTGTTAGCCAGGATGGTCTCGATCTCCCGACCTCGTGATCCGCCCGTCTCGGCCTCCCAAAGTGCTGGGATTACAGGCTTGAGCCACCGCGCCCGGCCAACTTAAGGAATTTTTAAAGGCCTACATGAAGAAATTAAGAACAACAATTGCTTATTCTGCCACCCCCACATCCCCTAAAAGATACTAGACCTAGATGGTTTCTCAGGCAAGTATTATCAAACCTAAAAAGAAACAGATAGTCTCTGACCTATACAAACTTTTTAAGAGACTGAAAAAAAAAAGGGGGGCCAGTGGGGGGCCAGGTGCAATGGCTCACACCTATAATCCCAGCACTTTGTATGGCTGAGGTAGGATAGCTTGAGGCCAAGAGTTCAAGACCAGACTAGGCAACATAGCAAAACCCTGTCTCTACAAAAATTTAAAAACTAGCAGGTTCTGGTGGTGTGCACCTGTAGTCCCTGCTACTTGGGAGGCTAAGACAGAAGGATAGCTTAAGCCCAGGAGTTCCAGGCTGCAGTGAGCTATGATCACATCACTGCACTCCAGCATGAGTGACAGAGTGAGATCACGTCTCTGAAAAAGAAAACGAAAAAAGGTAAGAGGAGCAGGAAGCTACCCATCTAATTTTATGAGGCTATGATATTATCCTGAAACACTGGAAAAGGACAATACAATACAATTTTATATCAATCTTTCTTATGAATGCACATGCAAAAAAATCCTAAATAAAAGTACTATGCAAACATACTGGCAAACTGAATCCAGCAGTATACTGAACAAAACACACAGACACAGACACACTGTCTCTACTATGACCAAGAAGGGCTTATCCTGGGAATATAAGGCTTAACATCAGAACATTAATGAAACATATCATATTAAAGAACAAAAATCAGATGTGGAGAAAGCATTCAATAAAATTTAACACTACCTTATGACTGAATCTAACAAAAACAACCTGGCAAATCAGGAATAGAAGCAAATATCACTAACTTGATATAATGTAACTATCACAACCCTACAGTTAACCCTATCATGCTTAATGGTCAGATTATAAAAAGCCTTCCCATTATAATCAGGAGCAAGGCAGGAATGCCCTCTATTACCTTTAGCCAGGACTATGTGGCGATATTAGCCAACAATACAAGGCAAGAAAAATAAAACGGAAACTTAGACAAACTTAAAACTATTAAGAGAGTTCAACAAGGTAGCTGGATACAAGATTTATAAATATTATTAGTATTTCTATACACTAGTAACAAACAGTTACAAAATTGAAAATAAAAAAGATTCCAGTCACAAGAGACATAAAAACTGTAAATTAGACTCAAAAAAAATGCTAGTCCTTTATAGAAAAAATTATAAAAAACCATTGAAAGACATTAAATAAAAGAAAAATTATGTTCATAAATGGAAGCCTAAATATTGAAAAGAAGTCAGTTCTCTTTCTACTCCTGGGAAGACAGGAAGAAAAAAAAAAACAAGTTGCTTCTCTCCTATTAATCTAAAATGTAGTACAATTCCAATAAAAATCCCATTAGAACTTGACAAGTTGATCCTACAATTCACAGGAAAATGCAAAAGGCAAAGAATAGCCAAGGCAATTTTGAAGAAAAACAACAAGGCAGACAGGACTTGCCTACCTGTTTTCAGACTTGCTTAAAAGAGTGCAGATAGGCAAACAGACCAAAGGAACAGAATAGAGAGTCCAGAAACAGGGCTCCTTCATGTATGGAAACTTGAGGGTGTGGCACACATGACATACACATCAGCAGGAAAGGCTGTAGACTTCAGTACATGGTGCTGGTTATCCATATGGAAAAAAGACAACATTATATCCAAGCCTCGCTGTACACAGAAACCAAATCCAAGAGAATTAAAAATCTAGATTAAAAAGGCAAGCTTTAGACTATTTAGAGGTTACACTTAATGACTTGCTGCAGTGCCTTGTTCATTCCCTTCATAGCATGCGTCACAATTTGTAATGTATTTGTTTAATGTGTGCCTCCTTTTGTCTGCTTCCCTCAAAAATGGTAGATTTCTTAAGTAAATCCTCACCTACCCTCCCCCCAAAACAAACCCCTGAACAACAGAAAAAACAAACAGATTTGACCACTTCAAAATTAAAATATTAAAATATTTTTGTGGGGAAGGGGTGCTGGTGGCAGGGTCTCACTCCATCTCCCAGACTGGAGTGCAGTGGTGCAAACAGAGCTCACTGTAGCCTTGACTACCTGGGCTCGAGCCATTCTCCCACCTCAGCCTCCCAAAGTGCTAGGTTTACAGGTGAAAACCCCCATATCTGGCCTAACATCTTCTATTTAACAAAAAAACACTAAAAACAAAATGCTATGGTTTTGATGTGGTTTATTTGTCCCCACAAAAATTAATGTTGAAATCTGATCCCCAAGGTGGCAATGTTGGGAGGTGGGGTTTATGGAATGTGCTTGGGTTCAAGGGGTGGATCCCTCAGGAGTGCCTTGGCACTGTTCTTGCAGTAGTGAGTGAGCTCTCACTCTTGCTCTGGGGAGTCTGGATTAGTCCTTGAGGGAATGGATTAGTTCCTGCAAGGGTAGGCTGTTACAAAGCCAGGGTGTCCTCAGGCTCTCCTCTCTTTGCATGGGTTGGCTTCCCCTTTGACTTCCACATATTATAATGCAGCACAACCCTTGCCAGAAGCCAGAGCCATGCCCTTGAACTTCTCAGCCTATAGAACCATCAGCTAAATAAACCTCTTCTTTATGTATTATCTAGTCTCAGGTATTCTTTTATAGCAATAGAAATCAGAGTCACAAAATGAAAAGACAAGTCACAAGCTAGAAGATATTCACCACACACATGTAACTGACAAAAGATTAATATCAAAAATATACAAAGAACTACAAATACTTAAGGGAAAACAACTGAAGCTATCCATCAGTAAGAAAACGAGCACAGAAGACAACACAAATGGCCAACGAACATTTGAAAAGATTTTCAACCTCTCTAGTAATCAGGAAAATGCACAATCAAACAAATACCATTTCACATCCATCAAATGGCAAAAAGGAAAAGGTCTGACTATGGATCGGTTCATCTTACACAACCATGCTGGGGAGCAGTTGAGAGATATCTATCAAAGATGACAATGTGTGTCCCCTTCAACCCAGCAGGTCCCCTCCTGGAGACATTCTAACACATGAACCCAATGAGACAGATACCAGAACATTCACTACAACACTGTAATAGCAAAAAATTGATAACTAGCAGGAGAACAGAGAACTACACTGGGGTACATTTATACAAGTGAGTATCATATAATAGTTAAAATAAATAAACTGGAGCAACACATGTGAACACAGATAAACCTCAAAAATAACAATGGTCAGTGGAAAAAGCAATGCAGAATAACTGGTATAGTAGGTACCATTACAAAAAGTTTGAAAACATGCAAGCAACTGTTATATTGCTTATAAACAACTATATATTGCTTATAGATACATATGTATGTAGCAATAGTACAAAAACATCCACAGGCATGATACATGTCAAATTTGGGACAGGGTTACCTCTGGAGAAGGAGAGAGGAAAAAAAATTGGAAGAGGACTATATAAGAGGCAAATGGGGAAAATAATTAGGGCCTGGAAAAGCTGGGTGGCTGTTTTTCTGATTAAGGACGAGGTTGAGCATCTTTTCAACTATCTATTAGCCATTTGTGTTTCTTCCATTTGAAATGTTTCCCAGTTAAAAGAAACAAAGACGGAGCCAGGCGTGGTGGCTCACACATGTAATCCCAGCACCTTGGGAGGCTGAGGCGGGCGGATCACTTGAGGTCAGGAGTTTGAGACCAGCCTGCCCAACATTGGGAAACCCCATCTCTACTAAAAATATAAAAATTAGCTGGGTGTGGTGGTGCATGCCTGTAATCCCAGCTACTCAGGAGGCTGAGGCACAAGAATTGCTTGAGCCCGGGAGGCGGAGGTTGCAGTGAGTGAAGATAATACCACTGCACTCCAGCCTAGGTGACAGAGTGAGACTTTGTCTCACAAAAAAAAAATTTTTTTGAAAGAAACAAAAAGGGAAGGTTAAAACGACACAGATGAGAAAATAAGGCAGTGACCTAAATGGGAGCAGCAGGCCATGTTTACACCGGTGGAAGTAGGGCTTAGTAAGAGTAGGGAACTGCACACACACATTCAGGACAGTCTGCACGGGCCCTGTGATTTGGTCACTGGGGACAGTCTCCATTGGATTCATGTCTCAGGCTCACGTCTAGGCTCAGAGCACCTCCACGTTGTCCTCAGCTGGCTGCAGCAGTGAGCATCCTGCCCTCACAGGGCTATTGTTTTTTGAGGAAAACAGACAAACACACATTAAACAACACACCACCAACTGAGTAAAGTATCACAAAGAATATGAACAAGGTGCTGAGGCAGAGCGTTCTGGGGATCTCATTCTCTGAAGAGAAGGCATCTAAGCTGAGCCTCTGGGGGAGATGCGGCAGGCAGTGCTGCGCGGCTGCAGTGCTATCGTAAGCCTGCTGCGACTCACAGCCTCAGAGTGACACGTGACTGCGGCCTCCTTGAGGGGAAGCTAATACCAGCGGTGGGCTAGGTCCTCAGCCCCGGGATAAAGGCACAACAGCTCTGTGACAGATCAGACCGCCCATCCAGAACCCTGAGCTTGCCCAGAGGTGCGTCTCCTCTGCGGTCACATCCTCACTAACGGCCGCACAGCTCGAAGGGCACAGGGACCACAAGCTTCCGCCTGTCCACACAGGAAACACAGCCAGTTCTGCTCACTTGGAAAGCCTTCTGTCCTCGAGGTCCCTGTGGAGAAGGGGTGTGAAGCCCTGCACCCGCCTTACCAGAGCGTTTTCGGGCACACCCAGGACCACATCATGCAACATGGCTCCGCTGCCGAAGTGCTGGGCTATGGACAGGCCGCTCAGGCAGTAGCAGGTGTGGTAGAAATCACGCGACCTGTAAGGACAGGCAGCTCTGAGCAGGCACTCCTCTGCTCCGCACACATCTACGGGTGCAGCCACACCAATTCAGAGACCACTGTGCTATCACATGTCCCCCTCGTCCTCCATGTGGCTAGAGGAGGCATGGTTTTCCCAGCAGTGTTATTTAAAGACCCACAGGCTGAGCACAGTGGTTCACACCCATAATCCCAGCACGTAGGAGGCTGAGGCAAGAGAAGAGTCTGAGGCCAGAAGTTCAAAACCAGCTTGGGCAACATAGGGAGACCCCCGTCTCTACAAAAGATTAAAAATTAGCTAGGTGTGGTGGCAGATGCCTGTAATTGCAGTTACTTGGGAGGCTGAAGCAGGAGGATTACTTGAGCCCAAGAGGTGAAGGCTGCAGTGAGCCGTGATTGTGCCAGTGCACTCCAGCCTGGGTGACAGAGGGAGACCCTGTCTCAAAAAAGTAAGATACAATAAAATAAAAGCCCCATCCTCCAGCCCTGCCCAGCAGCGGAAACTGTAATTTTTTTTTCTTTTTTTTTTTCTTTTTTACCTTAAACTATTAAGGGTTAAAGGAAACTGTAATTTTACAGTCAGTCTCTCCAACTGTCTTCTGGAAGGGGCTCTCCAGGGGCAGTACTAGTGATAAACTGATACACTTCTCTAGAAAAATACCTAAATATCTAGACATGGGCCACATTCTTCCTGATAAATTGCTGGACCAGGCCTTCCCCTGGACACCAAGAGCAGCAGGACGTGTGTTGGGGTCGGGGGAGACAGAGGGTGGGGAACAAAGGTTAGAGGACTTATTTTATTTCCCTTTTTCTTTTATAACACATAAGCCACCTCAGATTTGAGCTTAATTATTTAATCCACTCTAAAATAGTTGTCATGATTACAGTCTCTGTTTACAACACTCAGGTGTTTTAAAATCCTGTCTCCTATTCTATTCCTATTCTATTTAGATCAGTTTTTGTTTGTTTGTTTGTTTTAAAGAAGAAGAGTTATCTACCCAGCAATCTGTTTCCCTGTCTGGGGGAGGTGGTTGCATGCAAGCTGGGGGACAAGATGGGCAGCTGGAGGTGCCAGGATCAATGGCCTCGAGGGCTGCTCCCAACTGGGTGCTTTTCCCCATACAACCTAGCACTATGCAGGTGCTAAGGGTGACATCTCTGCTCTTGAGGTCTGGCTCTGAGTAGGCCTGAGGTGCACGCCCCTCTGCTCTCTCCTCCCCCCTCTTCCCTCCCCAGAGAGAAAGCACTCACTTGCCAGGTTTATCCAGAAGCCCCCCTGCAGGGCACTGGCAGCACATCAGGATGTACTCCTGCAGGGCCTGCTGATGGAACATCCAGTGGCTCATGCTAAGGGCAGGGTCACCTGTTGAAGGGCAAAGGATCAGTAAGGGCCTGGCGGATCCAGCCAAGTATCAATGACCTAATTCCGCTTTCTCATCCGGGGGAACAGTCAAGGTTTCCTTCTCCCCTTCCTCTTCCACTCATTCTTGGTACAACTGCTATCTTCCCCATGTCCTACGCACGGCATGTCCCTTCTCCTGAACTTTGACACGTGTCAAAGAGCAGCAGTTCAAAGTGGCACTTCCACTTTCTTGAAATGCACCCTGTTAACGTGGATGGTGATCCTCAACCACATCTCTAGCAGGCAATGAACTGGCCTAGCTGTTGAACTTACCTTCCCAGACTGACCTCGGTGGCTGCTCCCAACTTGGTCCACAACTCTACCCTGGACTTCAAGAGACCTTCCCTCTAGCATATCTCTATAACTTGTTAACCAGACTGATTAGCTCAGAGAACTCTTAACAGGGGTAATAAAGTCTGTTTCTTCTACTTTTCTAAGCTTGAATTTAATCAATCTCCAAAGGGAATTCTCTAACTTGTCTCTCTCAAAGAATTTACCTAAGAAACGTTACTAGTAACTGCCCTCCTGCATCATACGATACCCTAGCAAAAACTGGGTATTCTGGTAATACTACTAAGGTACTGACAAGCAACTGGACTTCTTCACTCTGAAGTTCAATCACTATGGTCAAAGAATTCTGTGAGCCACACAGTTATCAAGTGGGAAGGAGGGGCAAATCACGGACAGGTGTGCAGAAGCATCTGTGTAGAAAATGATTTAAAAAAAAAAAATATATATATATATATATATATATATAGGATGTACATTAAGTCCTTGGTCAATTTTATACTTTGATACCTGGGCTAAAAGATGCCCAACAATAAATCATTAAAAAAAAAAAAAAAAAAAGATGCCCAACAATTGGTAAATGGCACCTAAAAGCTAATTTTTCTTTCTTCCAATCTTTTTGTTTCTATGCATTTTTCTACCTTGTTATTATAACTATGTATCTTATGTTTTTCACTTACCACTATAGCCATAAACTTTTTTATTCTGCTACATAATCTGCACAGCTATCACTGTGAATAGCCATATAGTATTTTATTAAGTGGACATATAAGGTTACTGTATCATAAAAAGAACTGAAAATAACTAAAAATAACTGAAAAATAACTAAAAATCTTATATATATGTGAGTATATAAATTTCTATGGTGAAAATTATAAAAGTTTATGGTATCAATAATCTTTCATGTTTTGGAGAAAATAACAAAAAAGAAAAAAGAGGAAAAGATTTTTAAAAATAAAAACGAGGCCGGGCGCGGTGGCTCAAGCCTGTAATCCCAGCACTTTGGGAGGCCGAGATGGGCGGATCACGAGGTCAGGAGATCGAGACCATCCTGGCTAACACAGTGAAACCCCGTCTCTACTAAGAAATACAAAAACTAGCCGGGCGAGGTGGCGGGCGCCTGTAGTCCCAGCTACTCGGGAGGCTGAGGCCGGAGAATGGCGTGAACCCGGGAGGCGGAGCTTGCAGTGAGCTGAGATCCGGCCACTGCACTCCAGCCTGGGCAACAGAGCGAGACTCCGTCTCAAAAAAATAATAATAAAATAAAATAAAAATGAAAAGTTAGGCCGGGCGCGGTGGCTCAAGCCTGTAATCCCAGCACTTTGGGAGGCCGAGACGGGCGGATCACGAGGTCAGGAGATCGAGACCATCCTGGCTAATATGGTGAAACCCCGTCTCTACTAAAAATACAAAAAACTAGCCGGGCGAGGTGGTGGGCGCCTGTAGTCCCAGCTACTCGGGAGGCTGAGGCAGGAGAATGGCGTAAACCCGGGAGGCAGAGCTTGCAGTGAGCTGAGATCCGGCCACTGCACTCCAGCCTGGGCGACAAAGCGAGACTCCGTCTCAAAAAAAAAAAAAAAAAAAAAAAGAAAAGTTTACGATACAGTCTATAAAGAGATTTAAGCAAAATATTAAACTGTTGAATATTTCCTTTTTTTTTTTCTTTTGAGACAGAGTCTCACTCTGTTGCCCAGGCTGGAATGCAATGGCACGATCTTGGCTCACTGCAACCACCGCCTCCCGGGTTCAAGCGATTCTCCTGCCTCAGCCTCCCGAGTAGCTGGGATTACAGGCACGCACCACCACGCCTGGCTAAGTTTTGTATTTTTAGTAGAGACGTGGTTTCACTATGTTGATCAGGCTGGTCTCGAACTCCTGACCTCAGGTGATCTACCCTCTTTTGGCCTCCCAAAGTGCTGGGATTACAGGTGTGAGCCACTGCACCCAGCCTAAATTGTTGAATATTTCAAACAGAAAATAATAATTTATTAAATTTCTTAAAAAAGAGACACAGAGAAAAAGGGTTTCCAAGGTTGAGCACTAGATGAGGGACAGTGGCCAGCTGACATTTGGAGGCTAGGGACAAAAGCCTCTCATCTTCAACCCTGAGTTGCATTCAGCCCTGAAACACCCATTAAGAGACACAGGACACTGAGTCTGACCTAAGGAGAAGCATCCAGTCTCCTATCTCAGGCTGGCTGCAGGCCACATGCTTTGATACACTCACACTATTTTAATTCCCTTCCTTTCTTTTCCTCACCTGTAAGCACAGTGGACTTTGTTGTATAAGATACATACATATATGATGGGACTTCACTCTGTCGTCTTTTACTTATTTCCAAGGTTGTTTCCAGTTCCTTGCCATTATGAGGAATGCTGTGCTAAATCTTTGTCAATATTATCTATGCTTAGGATTATTTTCTTCAAATAGACTGACCACAGTGGAATTATTCGGTTAAAGGGAATAAACATTTTTAAGGCTTTTAATAGATACTGATAAACTGCTTTAAGAATTTACAGACTACTCTCAGCACAATCCCTGTGGAGTAGCCCTGCTCTGCAGGAGCAGTCAAAAATAAATATATAAATAAACTAAAAATAAAAACAAAGACTTTATGTAGCTGCCAGCAAAATTTAAAATTTTGCTCTACCACCTCCAGCATTAGCACCTTTTTGTTGTTGTTGGTGAGACCACCCAGGCTGGAGTGCAGTGGTGTGATCTCAGCTCACTGCAACCTCTGCCTCCCAGGTTCAAGTGATTCTCCTGTCTCAGTCTCCTGAGTACCTGGGATTACAGGCACAAGCCACCATGCCGGCTAGTTTTTGTATTTTTAGTAGAGACAGGGTTTCACCATGTTGTCAAGCTGGTCTCGAACTCTTAAAGTGATCTGCCCAACTCAGCCTCCCAAAGTGCTAGAATTAGAGGTGTGAGCCACCATGCCTGGCCAGCTTTAGTTACTTTTTAAAAGTAATCAGCAATTAAAATGGTAAAAAGAAATAGTACCTGATAATTTATTTTGATTTGCATGCCTCTGATGACTAATTAGGGTGAAATTTTTCCATAACTTGTGTTTAATATTTGCATTTCCTTATGATGCTATCTGTTTGGCCTATATCTTCTGAGATCCAATAGTCAATTTTATTAACCTAGCTTTTTCTTATATTCGCCCCTTGTCTACATCATATGCTGCATCTATTTTCTCCTTTTTGCTCCTCTGTTTTGGTTATGTGAGTTTAAAACTTTTTAAAATTAATTTTAAAATTTAATTAATATAAAACATATATATGTTTTATACTATTGATTTTTCCTTTGTGATTTCCTTTTTAAGAAAATATTTAATGTGTATGGGGATTTTTGGGGGGATGAGTAATGAAAATGTTCTAGAATTGTCATGATGGTTCGTAACTGAGTAGGTAAGTTGTATGGTATGGGAATTATATCTCAACAAAGCTGTTATTTGAAAAAGCGTATTTATTAAACTTTAGGAAACTGCATTACATATCTGTACAAAATGTACATATATTTCATATCCTATAACAAATAAAAGACTATTTTTATAAGACAAATGATAACCTGTGGCTAAAATTAGAATCTGAAAAGAAAACGCTATGTTTATCATATAAAAAATTATAGACTGTTTCAGTGACTTCCTATATTATTGAAGCTTAGAAGCTCAAAGTTCAAAAATTCTACAAGGAGCTTCCAGAAATCCTGAATTTGGACACCAGCACACATAATCACAACAAGATGAAAGCAAATATGATTATAGGGTGATAACTGCACACTGGAATCGGCCTTTTAAATCCTTTCTCCCTCTTCCTGAAATTATAGGTCCCCATTCTCATCTCATTTTGCATTTCAAAGGTTCTTTTCATCCAAAAAAATAAAAAGTCTTTCCTCACCATAACTGACAGGTGCAGCCATCTGTAGCTCAATTTCACAGGTGGGCAAGAAAATTCCAGGGTATGTCCCAAATAACATACAAGAAGCCAGTAACTACCAAGCCAGACAGAAACTCACAGGCCTGCTGCTTTCTTACTGTTCCACAAAACAAAAAACCAAATAACTCACTGATTTAGTCAGCACTTGAGATTTCTTAAGCCTTTTTTTTCTTTTCTTTTTTTTTTTTTTTTGAGATGGAGTCCCGCCCTGTCACCCAGGCTGGAGTGCAATGGCATGATCTCGGCTTACTGCAACCTCCGCCTCTGGGGTTAAAAGTGATTCTCCGGCCTCAGTCTCCTGAGGAACTGGGATTACAGGTGCGTGCCACCAGACCTGGCTAATTTTTTGTATCTTTAGTAGAGACAGGGTTTCATCATGTTGGCCAGGCTGGTCTTGAACTCCTGACCTCATGATCCAGCCGCCTCGGCCTCCCAAAATGCTGCGATTACAGGTTTCTTTTGCTTTTTGAGACCCAAGTCTTGCTGTGTCGCCCAGGCTGGAGTTGCAGTGGCACTCTCTGCCTGCAACCTCTGCCTCCTAGACTCAAGTGATCCTTCTACCTCAGCCTCCTGAGTAGCTAGGACTACAGGCACATGCCACTATGTCTGGTTAACTGTTTTTAATTTTTTGTAGAGACAAGCTCTCACTATATTGCCCAGGCTGGTCTTGAACTCCTGAGCTCAAGAGGTCCGCCTGCCTTGGCCTCCCAAAGTGCTGGGATTATAGTCATGAACCACCGTGCCCAGCGTTTTAAGCTATTAATAATAATTCCTTCTTCTACTCAAATACCGTCATTTACACATAGAAGGTAGTCATTGGCATGGAGCCACTGATGGTCACTTGCTGGGTTAGGGCATGGCCTAGACCCATGTGCTGCACTAGAGCATTCTTTTTGCTTTTTAGTTAGCAATATGATCAATGCCTTTTAAAAAATGTATTTGTACATTTACCAAAATAAAATTAGTAATGCACATCTTTTTTTTTTTAAAGGGCACAGTATAATATAGAAGTATAATATAAATCTATTTATATTATACTTAAAATATAAAAGGGCGCAGTATAATATAAAATCTAAAAAGTTGGCCGGGTATGGTGGCTCATTCCTGTAATCTCAGCACTTTGTGTGGCCGAGGAAGGTGGATCACTTGAGGCCAGGAGTTTGAGACCAGCCAGGCCAACAGAGTCATACCCTGCCTCTACTAAAAATAGAAAACATTAGCTAGGTGTGGTGGCACACACCTGTAATCCCAGCTACTCAGGAGGCTGAGGCACAAAAATCGATTGAACCCAGGAGGCAGAGGTTGCAGTGAGCCGAGATCACACCATGGCACTCCAGCCTCACCAACAGAGTCAGACTCTGTCTCAAAAAAAAAAAAAAAATCTAAAAAGTCTCCCTCCTTCTGTCTTCTGCCTCCTTCTCTTCTCCCAAAGGTACCCATTGTTAAAGGGGTTTGGTGGGGGTTCCAGGAAAAGCTGTGTACATCTCAGGCTGTGTGCCCAGGGACTGCTCCAGGCCCTGCCCCTTACACTTGATGATGTATCTTGGAGAGCTTTCTATATCAGCCCATGGGATGCAGCTACTGTTTGGAGAGATTTTTATTATGTAACCCTTAACCTTTTGATGGGCACTTAGGCTGCTATTACAACTCCACTTCAATATACATCCTTGGCTAATATCTCTGCAGGTAAATTCCTGACAGTGCACTTGCTGTGTTCAAAGGGTAAGTGCCCTTATAATTTAAACGGATGTCTCCAAACTGCCCTCCAAAAAATGATTTACCTATTTACATCCCCACTAACAGTATCAAATTACCTGTTTTCTCACACTCTCCCCAACATAGGGTATCAAGTTTCTTAATCTCTGCCAATCCGATAATAAAAACAAAGAGTGCCAGTCTTTTAATTAGCATTTCTTTAACTACAAGTGAGCTAAACAACTTTTCGTTGGATTAATGGCCACCTACTGTGGTTATGAGCAGGGGCAGGGTTCAGATGCCAGCTAGTCTGGATTCACACAACCACATACTAACCCTTGTGAGTGCCAATCAGGTATTATAAAGCAGTCACTTAGCCTCACTGTACTCTGTTTCCTCATCTGTGAATAATGCTACCTATTTCATAGGGTTGTTTGGAGAATTAAATGAGAAAATATATGTGAAATGCTCAGTACAGCCCCTGGCATACAGTGAGGACTTGCGAAGACTCCGCTACCAGTAGTAGCAATAGTTGTAGGAGAAAAAGTAAGAAGGACAGCGCTTTCTCTGGCACCTCTCTCTTCAGATCCTTTGCCTGTTTTTCAGTTGGGTTGTCTATCCATTTCTTACTGGTTTGTATGATTTTTTTTTTTTTTTCAAATTAAAGAAATTAGCCATTCATCACTTGTCATAAATATTTTTCCCACCTTGCTGCTTGTTTTGTTTGTAGAATTTCCCTGTTTTTGCAAAATAACTTTTGTTATCTTTCTTTATGCAAGAAATACGTATTAACTATAGAAAGATTAGAAAATACAAACAGAGGAAACAAACATCACCTGTAATTTCACATCCTAGATACTTTCTATGAATTTTTTTGAGTCAACTCTTCACCAAAAATGGGATTCCACACATATTGCTTTGATATGATCACAATATATTGTGACTATCTTTCTACACTGCAGCCCCTTTTGATTCCCTAAGTCAGTATTTTGCCCTCCTCTCAACACACTTCCCTTCTTTACAGACTCCTGTTTGTTCCAAGTTCAAGAGATGCCCTGTGTCCGAGAAGAACCTCAGACAACACAGGCCTTCTCCCAGCCAATGAAAAAAGCTGGAAGCACCAAGATTCATAGGCATCCTTTTCCACTGACAAAGCCTTGAATGCTACCAAGCCCTCTAGAACGTGTGCTACAATAAACAATTAACCAGCAGTCCCCCTGGAAGACTTTGACAGGTGGTGCTCCTGTTATAGCTTGCTCCAGATTTCCCTGGGATTGCAGAATTACTGCGTCTTACAAATGCCAGGGACAGGTTTGTAAAAGACTGATTTACCAGGGGCTTGACCTCACCAGTTCCAAATAAAGAGATCACCATGACCCCAAGTTTTTTTCTACCTTAGAAATGTCAGGTTGGGTGCGGGAGCTCACGCCCGTAATCCCAGCACTTTGGGAGGCCGAGGCGAGTGGATCACCTGAGGTCAGGAGTTTGAGACCAGCCTAACCAACATGGAGAAACCACGTCTCTACTAAACATACAAAATTAGCTGGGCATGGTGGTGCAGGCCTGTAATCCCAGCTATTTGGGAGGCTGAGGCAGGAGAATCGCTTGAACCCAGGAGGTGGAGGTTGCAGTGAGCCATTGCACCTTGTTCACCTAGGCAACAAGAGCGAAACTCCATCTCAAAAAAATAAAAATAAAATAAAAACTGTTTGACTTGGGGAATTCCTGACTTCCCTATTGGTGGTCAAGGCAGACACTGTGTAGGCTCCAGAGTCAGTGCACTTGCTGACAGTGCACTTGCCGTGTTCCAAGGGTAAGTGCCTTATATGCCTTAATACTGACACCTAAAGCCCAGTGGGCCCAGGCCGGGAAAATGGGACAGAGGCTCTGCTTACTTTAATTCAGTGTCAGAAATGGTCACAACTCAACAACTCAAAGGAAATTAAGAAACTAAATAATGAGGCTCAGGGCTGGACGTGGTGGTTCATGTCTGTAGTCCCAGCACTTTGGGAGGTGGAAGTGGGTGGATCACCTGAGGTCAGGAGTTCAAGACCAGCCTGACCAACATGGTGAAACCCTGTCTCTACTAAAAATATAAAACTTAGCCAGGTGTGGTGGCGCATGCCTGCAGTCCCAGCTACTCAGGAGGCTGAGGCAGGAGAACTGCTTGAACCTTGGAGGTGGAGGTTGCAGTGAGCCAATATTGTGCCACCGTACTTCAGCCTGGGAGACAGAGCAAGACTCCGTCTCGGCGGGGGGGAAAAAGGGTGGGGTGGGGGCGGCCCTCCGAAACAGGAGAAAAAAGTGTGGGGAGGGGCAGAAAGGAATCTCATCTTTCACATTTGAGCAGTTACATTATCCAGCTAAGTCCAAAGAACAGCTTCTCTCTGGACCCAGGGATGTCACTCCAAAAACAGATGAGCAGCCAGCAGGGCCCCATGACTTCCCCTCTCCCCACAGGTTTACTCAGAGACACCTGCTCCCACATCAAGTACACCAGAAAGATGGTGCAGGAATTAGCAGGCAGACTGAGGTTTCAAGAGGTAAAGAGAGAAGGTTCCCAGAGTTTTTGCTCGCTACTTCGGGTTTGCATTCCCATTTGAGACCCCACAGAAATGAATGTGGATTTCTCTACGCCAATGGTGCAGGTGGAACAAACTCCCATTTAGGCTTGTTCAATGAATGTAAAATAAAACATTTCTCATGGTGACAACTCCGCAGCCAGTCAGACACAGCGAGTCTTTTCTCCATGGGTTCTGGTTCTCTACCCCTTTACGCAGTTGCCTTTCCTGCTGCTGTTGCAACAGTGACTGTTGCAACACTGGGTTTTCAGCTCTGCCCTGCACCCAGAGGAGGTGGCAGTCACCACAGAGCCCAGGACAGGAGTGGGCTGCTCCTTCCAGATAATGCAGAAGCAGCACCCACTTCCTCCCCGCTCCCCGTAGCAATTTCAAGGGAGCTCATTCTGTCAGCCAATTTGAAGAAGCAAGGAATGACACTAAACCAATGAAACTAAATCTTACTCTGCATTTGCATGCCCCACGGCATGAGGTTCCACACTGGGCACTCAAAATCCAGGACAGACAGAGCTCATTTCAACCCCTCTAAAAAAGCACACTGGGCTTCCAGACTTTGTGAGTAGTGGAGGGAAATCATCCAGCCTCAGCAAACAGCTCCCCAGGCTCACCTTGGGCGTGCAGTGCACGGTGGAGCAGGGGCAGGAGCCCTGCCTGCCAGAACGAGTAGCAGCCATCCACCAGCTTGTTGCAGCGGCCCTGAAATCCTCCTTCAAATCGCATCTGCCGGCTTGTCACCCATTGCTGAGGAGACACAGATGGGAAAGGCAGTTGTAGGCTAAGAGAGACAAAATCCAGCCCGACGGGATCTCCAGGAGTCAATCTGTGGGATGGAGGGTTTCCCATCTTGTGGCTTCTCGGCACTCCAGTTTTGGTGCTCTGGTTTTCTTTCTTCCCTCCCCACACTGCCACAGACACACAGTGAAGCATTTAAGCCAACGCTGTGGAGGCATCCAGCACTGATCTCTGCTCAATGCCTAGCAGACAACTACCTTTTCCTGGGTTCCAAAGCAGGGCCAGTGCTGAGAGGATAAAGAGGCCAAGCTGGTTTGTAAGGAGACCTTCAAAGTCTCTTAATAAACATGGCTTAAGTTGGAAATTGAAGGCAAGACTAACAGTAGCTCATTTCTCATTACTTCCCTGCTCAGGGGAGTTTATGAAAAGCAGATAAATGGAATTTGGTACTATATTTCATCAGATGATCTCAAACTGCTCCTGACTTTTACTTGGCACCTGGGGAAATTTACCCAAGGTCTCTTAGCAAGTCACTAGCAGGCCTGAAAGCAGAAGCCATTCATTCTAATTACCAAATGACAATTCTGCCCAGCCTGTGGCTGATATAAGAAAATCTTTTACTTTGAAGCTGTAAAATAGGTCTTGATGTCGCTCAGTGGTCACACACGATACCACCATTCCTTGCTTATCTACAAGTTTTCTAAACACACTCTACTACAAAGATCAAGATAGTCATGGGTTTGGTCCCTTGAAATGAGCAGAACCAACTGGCTGAGCAGATATGACATTTCCATTTCCCTCCCTAGACCACCTAGGCCATTCCAGCCACAGACTCACAGAGCTGCCTCACTCAACTGAAAGGGTACAGGGGAGGGTACTTCCCGTTTCTAGAGCCTTACTAGGTCAAGTTCCTGAAAGAAGCCACTGGGACCCTTGATGGAAGTGGGGGCCAGCCCTCCCCTAAAAGCTGTAGTTTAGATTATATCCCTTTTCAAGGCAACACCTGCCCATAGAGAGTCACAGTCACAAATTCTTAAAAGAGACAGAAAACACTGCACTGCAGGTTCAGGCTGGTCTTAAATGAACCAGGGCTTCCAGCATGTAATGGAAGTGGGCTAAGCATTACTCAGGCAGAGAGAAGGCAGGTGCTGCAGTGGGAGTCCGTTCCTCATTTCTACTTACCGTAGGGCTTAAGTGTTTTTAAGCAGACTAATTTATTTTTTCCAGTGCCTAAGCCCATGGATTTGTTCTGTTTCCTTGGGCTACAGGAATTCATACTTCAGATATGTGTCCTACTTCTCCCAAAGCAAATGGAAGGGAGTAGTTTGGGTTAGAGCATGGGTCCCTAACCCCCGGGCCATGCCAGGCTGCACAGCAGGACATGAGTGGTGGGTGAGCCAGCGAAAGCTTCATCTGTATTTACAGCTGCTCCTCACTGCTCACATTACTGCCTGAGCTCCACTTCCTGACAGATCAGCAGCAGCATTAGATTCTCATAGAAGCACAAACCCTACTGTGAACTGTGCGTGCCAGGCTTCTAGACTGCACGCTCTATATGAGAGTCTAATGCCTAATGATCTGTCACTGTCTCCCATCACCCCCAAATGGGACTGTCTAGTTGAAGGAAAACAAGCTCAGGGCTCCCACTGATTCTACATTATTGTGAGTTGTATAATTATTTCATTATATATTACAATGTAATAATAATAGAAATAAAGTACACAATAAATGTAATGTACTTGAATCATCCTGAAACCATTACCCCCGCCCCACCCCCCACCCCACGTCCATGGAAAAACTATCTCCCACAAAACTGGTCCCTTGTGCCAAAAAGATTATTACTCTGTGTTAGAGGGACACTAACATTTATTAAGTACCTACTATGTGCCAGGCCATTTATAAATGTTCTCTCCTTTAACCTTAAAAAAATAAGGATAGTTATCCCTACCTTATAAAAGAAAAAATATCAAGCTAGAAGAGATTAGACAATTTGCCCAAGGACCCATGTCTCAAATGTAGTAGGGACAGGGTTCAAATCTGGAACGCTGCCATTATAACTGAGGCACTCCCTGATCACATTCCTTATTTCTGCCTGGGAGATGGGACTTTGTTGTTTCATCCCTTATTGGTGCTCAGATTTTAAAACATCTGAGAAACTCAAGTTCAGCACACAAAGTTGGCTGTTTCGGCATGAGCCTTCAAGCCTTCAGGAATCTTTAAAAAGACTATGCCGGGGGAGGCTTTCTGAAGGTGGAGGCAAGATGCTGCTGGTTACATCTCTACAGGGTACGACAGAAACTCTCCAGGAAGCTCACGATGGGCCGTACAACGGAAGGCTGGCATCTGAACTCAGGCAGAGGAGGTGCATGTCAGTTGCAGCTGGTTTGCTTTGAGGTCATGGTCAGGGGGCACATGCTCCTCAAATGACATGACGGGGAATGCCTTCTCCTTGGTGGCCGTGGAGGTGTGTGTGTTTGTGCACCCACTGATCATTTAACTACAATCTAGTGACTCCCTGAAGCTGACTGCTTTCTGAGTTTCTTCTGAATACTGGCCAGGAGCTTGGGGTCCAGACATAAATGTTGGGCTGCCTTCTCAATGCAATTAGCCAGCTCTGCCTAAACAACTCATTTAAATGTAGGTACTAAATGTTTACACAGTGCAGCAGGTAATAAAAGTTTGGTTTCAAAATGCTGCAAAACTCTTCTTGTAACTTTTCCTCTTAGGAGGTTCTTTCTATAACACACGATAACCTCTAATTCTACATAACTGAAGTATAAGGAAGGTACTCTGCTCACACCAGATGTCTGCGGGACACAGTCTATGTAGTCTACACACTATGTGAAAAGCTCTAAGCAGGAAGACAGAAAGGCAGAAGGGGGAGCCAAGACAGAGCAGCTGCTCACTCCTTCCTCTGTGTTGGAACAGAGCTGACTGTTACCCCTTCCCATAGCCAAACTCTCCCGAAGCCTGCATGTCTGAGTACAATCACCTCACCATGACCTGGGGTCTGAGAGGAGGCTGGTTCAAAAGATACTTACTAATAAGCTCTTCAAGTTCAAGGAACGTTCCCTCTTGAGGATTACCAGCGCGGCCAAGCCACAGAAGGTATAGCCACCGTGGGCTTCCATCCCTGGTACCCCGCCAATGCCACCTTCCCAGTTCTGACACCTAAGAAGAGATTGAGAAAAGCAGATTGAGTGGCCACTGAGTGGACGTACACAAGTCCAGGACCATCCTAGGTGGCAGAGAAAAAGTTCACTCAGATTAAGGTGTGAGCCATCACAACTATGAATGAAAAGATGCCAACTAATTAACTTTTGGAAATGTCTTTTCAAAAAAAAAAAAAAAAAAAAAGAAGCTAGGCCTGGTGGTGCCCGTGTGTAATCCTAGCTGCTCAGGAGACTAAGGCAAGAAGATCACTTGAGGTCAGGAGTTCAAGGCTCCAGTGAGCTATGATCACGCCATTGTGCTCCAGCCTGGGTGAAAGAGCGAGACTAGGTCTCTAAAAAAATAAGTACAATAAAAACTGTAAAATGTTAAAAACCCAGACACTTAGAAACAGCCTACTTGTATAAAAAACATAATAATTCAAATTGTTACTCTTTGGGAAAAAGTTATAAAATCATATATATATATATACACACACACACACACATATACATATAGTGATAACCATCAAGTTGAAACAAAATTGAAAAGTGATTGTTGATTCTAGTGACCTTTTATTTTTGCAACAGGGTCTTAACTGTGTTACCTAGGTTGACTGCATATCATGGCTCACTGTAGCCTCAACCTCGTGGACTCAGGCAATCCTCCCACCTCAGCCTCCTGAGTAGCTGGGACTATGGGCACGCCCCACCATACCCGGCCAATTTTTTGTATTTTTTGTAGAGTTGGGGCTTTGCCATGTTACCCAGGCTGGTCTTAAATTTCTGGCCTCGAGGAATCCTCCCACCTCAGCATCCCAAAGTGCTGGAATGACAGGCATGGGCCACCGCACTTGGCCTCTGGTGATCTTTGAGTACAGGTCTACTGGTAATATTTTTCCTTTTTGTTTTTCTCTTTGTTCAAAAAGTTTTTATAATGAACCTTTATACTCTTCAAAAATAAACGTTATTTTAAAAAATTATAATTAGGTCAGGTGGCAATGGCTTCTTAACAGCCTGCAGAACCATGAGCCAAATAAACCTCTTTTCTTCCTAAGTTACCCAGCCTCGGGTATTCCTTTATAGTGGCACAAAATGGACTAACACAAGGACAAGAAATAACTGACTTAGTAGAATAGAGAAACCTTCCCTACCCAAATGGTAGGGATGGGAGAGGGGCAACAAAAAGCAAGGTGATGTGCTCCAATAAAAGGCTCCAGGATTAGAGATACAGGGAATCTCCACAAAGTGGAATGCGTTTGAACTAGGTTTGTTGGTTGCAAACTTATCTAAGAATCAGACCTTTAAGTCCCCTACTCAAATCCAGCAGAAGATGGGAAGTTTCAGAGGTTTAATCAAAAGGATCTGAGTTCCAGAATATCCAACAAGCTAAGAGGAGGAGGGAACACTGCACCCAACAGGATTACGTGAGAATCAGCAATCTGAACACAATAACCCCAGCCCCATTCCCTTGTGTATTTCACACAAGGCTGCCAGTTTCATACTCCAAGCAGGATTTAGAAGATTCCTCTCCAAGGGAACTGATAAGCCCAAGGGAAAAATCCTACAGATACTGCTTTGAGAATTCCCCAATGAATGGCTTGATCCTGCCCACCCTCGCAGAGCTTTCCAGCGGCTTTTCAGTGCTGAACCCTTAAAAATGAACAGACAGCTATAGAGTACCAGACATTTGACTGCAGTCTCTACTATGAAAGAGAAGGAGACCAAAACAAACAAAAATAAACTAGAGGATATAAGGCACGGAGCAAAAGAAAACTTTTTAAAGTTGTATCTTTAGATAAAATATTATATGAAGTAAGACTACTGAGAGGACAAAATATCCCCAGAAAACAAGAGAGTATATAAAAAAGTAGTGAGGAAGTAAAAGTAGTCAGGGAGGAAAACTAAAAATAGGATTACAAAAATAAAAACAAGAGGATTAGACGATAAATACTAAGAGAATCTCTTAAAGTGTAAGAAGGAGGATTAAGATTTGGAAACCATGCAATGAAGTATTTTTATTTTTATTTATTTATTTTTGAGACAGAGTCTCGCTCTGTTGCCGAGGCTGGAGTGCAGTGGCACAATCTTGGCTCACTGCAACCTCCGCCTCCTGGGTTCAAGTGATTCTCCTGCCTCAGCCTCCTGAGTAGCTGGGATTACAGGTGCACACCACCACGCCTGGCTAATTTCTGTATTTTTAGCAGAGACAGGGTTTCACCATGTTGGTCAGGCTGGTCTCGAACTCCTGGCCTCGTATTCTGCCTGCCTTGGCCTCCCAAAGTGCTGGGATTACAGGTGTGAGCTACTGCACCCGGAAGTATTTTTATTCTTTTTTATTTATTGATTGATTTTGAGATGGAGTCTCACACTGTCACCTGGGCTGGAGTGCAATGGTGCGATCTTGGCTCACTGCAACCTCTGCCTCCTGGGTTCAAGCAATTCTCCTGCCTCAGCCTCGCGAGTAGCTGGGATTACAGGCACCCGTCACCATGCCCGGCTAATTTTTTGTACATTTTGTAGAGGCTGGGTTTCACTATGTTGGTCATGCTGGCCTCGAACTCCTGACCACGTGATCCGCCTGCCTCGGCCCCCCAAAGTGTTGTGATTACAGGCCTGAGTCACCGCACCCAGCCTCAAAGTATTTTTAAAAGTCAGACAATCAAATGTACTAATGGGATGTCATATTTTAAAAAAGAGGCTGGCCAGGTACAGTGGCTCATGCCTGTAATCCCAGCACTTTGGAAGACCAAGGCAGGAGGATCATTTGAGGTCAGGAGTTTGAGACTAACCTGATCAACATGGTGAAACCCTGTCTCTACTAAAAATACAAAAAAATTAGCTGGGTGTGGTGACACACACCTACAATCCCAGTTACTTGGGTGGCTGAGGCAGAAGAATCGCTTGAACCTGGGAGAAAGAGGTTGCAGTGAGCCGGAGTGCACCACTGCACTCCAGCCTGGGTAACAGAGCAAGGCACCGTCTCAATAAATAAATAAGTAAATAAATAAATAAATAAATATATAAGAGGCTGGGCACGGTGGCTCACACCTGTAATCCCAGCACTTGGGGAAGCTACAGCAGGAGGATTACTTCAGCCCATGAGTTTGAGACCAACCTGGGCAACGTGGTGAGGTTTTGTCTCTACAGAAATTTTAAAACTTAGCTGGTGGTAGATGCCTGTAGTCACAGCTACTGAGGAGGCTGAGGATGATCACTTGAGCCTGGAAAGTCGAGGCAGCAGTGAGCCATGATCGCGTCACTGCATTCCAACCTGGGAGACACATGAGACCCTGTCTCAAAAAAAAAAAGGCCTGGCGTGGTGACTCACGCCTGTAATCTCAGCACTTTGGGAGGCCGAGGCAGGTGTATCACTTGAGGTCAGGAGTTCGAGACTGGCCTGGCCAACATGGTAAAACCCTGTCTGTACTAAAAATACAAAAATTAGCTGGGCGTGGTGGTGGGCTTCTGTAATCCCAGCTATTCAGGAGGCTGAGGCAGGAGAATTGCTGGAACCCAGGAGGCAGAGGTTGCAGTGAGCCGAGATCACGCCATTGCACTCCAGCCCGGGTGACAACAGCAAGACTCCGTCTCAAAGGAAAAAAAAAAAGAACAAACAGAAAACACAAGAGAAGAAATTATCAAAGAAATACTATAATAAAGATTCTTGGTACTAAAGTATATGCACTTCCAAATCGAGTACCAGCACAATGAATAAAAAATAATCCACGTCAAGATTCATCATCAAGTTTCCAAACAAGAATAAAGATTCCAGGCCAGCCGAGGTGGCTCATGTCTGTAATCCCAGTACTTTGGGAGGGTGAGAAGGGCAGATCACTTGAGGTCAGGAGTTTGAGACCAGCCTGGTCAATATGGCAAAACCCCGTCTCTACTAAAAATACGAAAATTAGCTGGGCATGGTGGCAGGCATCTGAGGTTGCAGTGAGCTAAGATTATGCCACTGCACTCCAGCCTGGGTGACAGAGCAAGATTCCATCACACACAAAAAAGAATAAAGATTCCAAGCCTCTAAAGAAGGACAGGGATGGGGATAGAGAAAGAGAGACAGAAGAAAAAAAAAACATACAGAGAATTAAGAATCACAATGGCACTGCCAGGTAGTACAGCACAGTGGAATCCACTTGACTCCTTTGTATTTCAGCTTAATACAAAATTGAAAGGCTGGGTGTGGTGGCTCACACCTGTAATCCCAGCACTTTGGGAGGCTGAGGCAGGTGGATTGCTTGAGCTCAGGGGTTTAAGACCAGCCTGGGCAACATGGAAAAACTCCATCTCTACTAAAAACACAAAAATTAGCCAGGTGTGGTGGCATACACCTGCAGTCCTGGTTACTTGGAAAGCTGAGGCAGGAGGATCACTTGAACCCAGGAGGTCAAGGCTGCAGTGAGCCAAGATCACGCCACTGCACTCCAGCCTGGGTGACAAAGTGAGACCCTGTTTCAAAGAATAAATTAATTAAATTAAATTAATTAAATTCAGTATCCCACCACTTGACATATAAGGAAACTATGACACAAAACAGTGGAATAACTTGTACAAGCACAAAGCTAATCAGAAACGGCACACCTGTAATTCCAGCACTTTGGGGGGCTGAGGCAGGAAGACTGCTTGAAACCAGGAGTTCAAGACCAGCCTGGGTAACACAGACTCTGTCTTTACAAGACATTTTAAAAATTAGCTAGGTGTTGTGGTGCACACCTGTGGTCTCTGCTACTCACGAGGCTGAGGTGGGAAGACTGCTTGAGCCCAGGAGGTCACGGCTGCAGTGAGCCGTGATTGTATCACTGCAATTCAGCCAGGGCAACAAAGCAAGACCCTGTCTTCAAAGAAAAAAAAAAAAAAAAAGCCAGGCGCAGTGGCTCATGCCTGTAATCCTTGAACTTTGGGAGGTCAAGGTGTGTGGATGGCCTGAGCCCAGAAGTTCAACCCCACCTGGGTAACACAGACAGACCCCATCTCTACAATTTTTTTAAAAAAACATTAGCTGGTTATGGTGGCACG